GCCCGTCTTTTGATGCTCAGCAATGGAAAACAAGCTGAGGAGCAGGAGACAGAACCAAATGAAAATTCTACCTTCTCATTCAACCAGCTCTTAGCTAATTTAGCAGTGCAGAATAGTATATGTTATGCTACATGATTAAATATAAGCTGAGATTTAAAACACAAATAGCCAAACAAAAATTACATTAGGAAAATAGTATGAAGTGCTAAACTAAGTATTCAACCTCTCTGCTGTTTCTGTTCAATAAAATGCAATGGTGAATACGAAAGAACAGGAGCTATTTCAATGAATTGTGCTCTAAGATTAAGATTCTATGTCTATAGGTCAATAATCCCCAAGTATAATTTGGAAGGATTTGATATTATCGAGGATACTAGTTGAACTAATTCTTTCACATATATTTTAAAATGGTATTTGTACATTCAACTTTACATCCTTGCTGTATAGTTTCATACATTCATGATTACTCCATAGAGTATTTATTTTTCAAGTACATGAAAATGTGAATCAAGTTTTACTTTACAAAGTACAAGCTAAATGGTAAAGATTCGTTACCAGCCCACAGATATTATTGCCTGCTAATTCATTAATTCTTTAACATTGTTTCCAGCAGTTAAGTCATCGCATTAATATTTCTTTTCGTAAACAAGGGGAAAATGCTTAGGAAGGTTTATTTTATCTTGTTCTCGACAAACTCTGACAAATTGAGTTGGTATTAATTTACAATACCAAAATGTGTGCGTGTATATTTACAGTATGTTGAACCACCTAGTCATATATCTTATATATGTGAGAGGAGGGCTTAAAAATTATAGAATGCTGCCAAGGGATCAATAGGAAAGCACTTGTTCTAGTTTACAAGACAACCAAAGCAAGCCAGGATATTGTCACCCTGCCTTTCTTATCCTTGACTAAGGAAAAAGAGAAAATCTTTCATTTCTAGAGACCAAAAATATTTTTGAATATCTACTAGAGAATCTAATAGTAAAAAAAAAAAAGTATGAGTATGAAAGCAACAAGAAATAATTAGGGCTCTGAGAACACAAAACGAACTGCATAGCAGCCAAAGCCTCCCGCTTTTTTATTTAAAAAGCTTAGTGACTGAGTTGTGCGAGCTTGCAAGTTTCCATGTAGTGGTTCCATTGACACAGCCCAATTCCCAAAACCTGGACTGCTTGCAATCGCCAGTCCCTGTCCCCTGGCTAATGAGGACTCTGAGTGTGCACTTCTCTTGTGATGGCATCTTCACCTTTTCTGCCATGTAGCTTTCCTTAACCCTGCAGCTTCCTTTGCTTCAGTCTGCAGTCTCCCGCCCAGAGCAGCTCCCTGGGATCTCGTACTGTGTGCCCTGAGCTCAGGGCAGCTCTCCCACAGATAAGCATTCCCTTGTCCTGGCAGCACGTTTTCCTTCCAGACGATCTTCTGGGTACCAAATGTCCCTTTCATATCACCCCCACCTCTTGCCTTCCCATTGGAAGACCCACAGCAGAGGCGGTGCACACAGAGAAATCTCTTCCACCGGCCTCGACTTGGTGCAGGAGTCCAGCCTGAGTCTAGCAGGTGGGTGCAATGGAGAGGCAAGCATTTCAAGGTAACCACATGAGTGTGTGAAACAATTTCAAGATCTGGCGAGGAAATAGCTTTTGTTCTCGCTTGTGTGTGTGTGTGTGTGTGTGTGTGTGTGTGTGTGTGCATGCACACATGGTATGTAAGAGACCTGGCACAGAATTTCCTTGACAGCATTTTCTCAAAACAGTCTATATATAATTCTTCAGATTGGAGTTTATTTCAGGCACCAGAATGAGCATTTTTATAATAAGCTCCCATAACTGTTCCTATGAGTCACACTCATACCACAGTCCGCTCCTAAACAGCAAGTAGACTCCAAGGATAAATAACTGTGACGCATGCAGGACGATTTATATACTGGCCTCAAGTGTGTATAAAACAATTGGCTTGGAAGCAGCCCTCCTCTGAAAACACCTGTAATAACACTCGACATAAAACTGTTATGAACTGTTTTAAATGCTAACACATCAGAACACTGAGACAGCATAAACCTTTCTGTCAAATTCCTAACTTTCACTCGGTCTGTGTGAAAGTGGCACGCTTCCCATTCAAAATGAAATCTATCAATTTTGCATGCACTCGCTGTGCCCACTCCAACTACCGAAAAATACCTAACAGCATAAGCTGGCTGGAAGGGGCAGATATTTTTGCAAAAGAACTTAACACAATGTTGGCATACTACACAAACCTTTGATGATCTCATTTATGTTTCTAGTCTTATCAGCATAGGTGTACTCTGAAACTTAGCAATTGATAATATAGAAAAAATTAAAAAGGGGGGTAGCACAACATAAAGATGATTGGTTAAAGCAACAGAATATATTATTTGTCTGTGTAGCATTACAATTTAATGCATCATAGGCAGACACAAGTTGAACTCCCATTTGGTAGCTCAAACTCTGAGAAGCACTTTGCTATTCCGACTTAAGAA